AAATAGCCAACTGCTAAAAATGCCATGTGAACAGTGACACAGACTTGGCACAACAAGCCTGGATTTTAAAGGCTTCCCTATGCATCGTTTCCTTGGTACCTGTTTTGGGGAGGAGCATTAGGGTCCTGCTTTTTACTTTTTGACCCTACATTATCTTTTTTAGGTTTTTTCTTCTTTGGCTTTCCTTCTTCATTTTCTCCTTCTTCATCTTCATCATCCAAAGGCACATCAAACTCTGGTTCTTTCAATAAGCCAAAGAAAACCTACAAGCCAAGAAAACACACAAGACAAAACAGTAATTGCTGTTCTTACCAAAACCTAATTTTTTAATGGCAACTTTTCAGTGTAAAAGTCCAAGCAATAGAGCTGCCCCTTTAAAACTTCTGTTTAATATTACCACATATGTTACTGCTCAGCCCATAACAAATGTAGTACATGTTTTTCTGGTTTACTTAGCAACTGATCTGGACAACTATAAGTTCTTCCACCATCTCTTAGCCCTTCCTTAAGGTGGAATCCCTAGACCTTACCTAATTTATTTGTATAGTACTGTGGTATTACACAAACAGCCCTTGCAGTAACAACTGGTGGCAAGTAAAAATTACATCTGTTGTACAAAAGAGGAAGCCAAGTAGTCAAGTGTCCATTTTAAAACTCCAGAGTAATTAATGAATTGGTTTATTTCAGTGGGCTGGACACAAGGTTGTCTCTCAAAAGGTTCAGCAGTTTCTTCCACCAAAGAGTGACATACCTTGATCTCTCTATTCCTGTCAACAACTATTTGTACAGTTCACTTCCTTTGTTCAGTTCATGCTGTCTTTTAAGATCTCAAGCTACAATTGTCAGTCTACACTATGGGATCTCCCTAAAAAACTAGGGAAATTTGTTTAATTATAGAAGTGCAAAAATCTTTGCCTCCTACCTTTGCTTTATTAGCCTCTCGTTTTGCCTCCCCAGCCAAGCTTCCAACCATAGCATCTATCTGTTGTTTGCTGCGAGGCATTCCATCAAAGATATCAATGTAAAGATGCTCCTGAACAATGTTCCAGATCTGATTGTTCTGCTTTTCCTGAAGATGCCTCTTCAAGAGCTGGTAAGAGTCACGGGAAATACGCAGCACAAACTTGCTTGTTCGGAAATCCAGCATGGTCTCATTACCTTTCATATGCTCTTTTTTGGTTAAGCTGGACAGTACACGCAGGTCATCCTGGTAATAGCACTCCTGATCCCCATGAAACCTATTGAAACAATTTAACAAAGGTTTATTAGGAAAACATTATCTTCTAAGGGCACACTTATTTACATTGCTTGAACATAAAACATATATGTAAGGACCATTTGGAAGCTACTGACTACATATGGGATTATTTTTCTGATGAAATTAAATTCATCCAGGGGAAGATACACCAGTGATTTACTCTGCATAGTAAGAGCATTCAGCAGTTAAAAAACAAGATGAAGAGAATACACAAATGGAACCTCTCAGGATGTCATACACCCAAAGGGTTCTTGCCTGAAGTAAATAGTTATGCTTACATGTTTATTTCTAGAAATTAAACCCTAATTTGTGGTACCATATAGTACAGGGCATTTTTTATTACACAGGACTACTTGGATGCCTTTATGTCTGATTCATTATATGAATATATACATTTCACAGTCTACGTGTTTCTCACTCTCCACTTGCATTATCTAATACCTAACACATATTTAGAATTTTCCATTTTTACTCAACTTGTTATAAAATACTTGTGGCAAGGGGCATTTTAACTATTTATTGTTACAGAACCATTTTTGCTGATCATGTGGAGGGAGACACAGTTATCCTTTTGGATTGAAGTATTTCATAACTGGTCTGAATCCAAAAAACAAATTAAATTTAATTTTATTTTCAATTAATAAACAAATAAAACATAGCAAGAGCACAGACAATTATAGATTAGCCATAAATTAACATCTTTAATCTCATTTGAAGAATTTCAATGTACATGCTATGATATTAGCAAATACTTAGAGTGTACATTACTTTGGCATCTCAGTGCAATTTTCAAGTGCTAAAAAACGACCCCACAATCTTTCCCTAAAGATGAAACATCTCTTCATTGATACTTCTGCAGCAAGGAGCCCATCAGCACACCATAAACATGGTTCAAAATTTTCCAATGGACAGTTCAAAAGCATGTAGTCTGCACATGCAGACTACAGGAGACTGGAAAACAATTTAAGAACAGTTACTGCAATCCATGATGGCATCATTACTTCAGATTTCAAATCTCTTCAACTTTAAATAAGAAAAATAATATGGACATATGTATATGTATACAAACCTATGCTACTGTAGCTCACAGGTTTAACCAAAACAGCAAACACAAAATAACACAAATGCACAAACGAAAATGAATTACCTTTCAAAAAAAGACTTTGCCTCACTCTCGTGTTGATTGTAGACCAATTCCAAGTACATGTGCACAAAGAGAGGATAAAACAGCTGAGACAACTCTGCTCGATGACAGTCCAGGGAACACTCGATGAAGTGTTTCAACCCGCTGTAGTACTCCTCGTACAGCGTCGGGTCCCCTTGCTGGTTGTAGGCCGACAGCACTGCGCTCACATCTGGCTGATCCTCCACAACCACGGCACCTCCGACTGCAAAACCATCAGCAAACAACAAGAGCTTGTCAGCCTGGAAGAGCCGGTGAGCAAACAGTGGCCACAACCCCAGTGGCCACAACCCGCTGGTCAGGTGAGGCAACAAGCAAAACACGCCTGTGACTGTTCAGCACCAAGTCTAAACCACAGAGGTGAAAGGGTGGTGGCACTTTACAGTCCAGCAGCCGATTTTCCCACGACCTCCAGCAGTTTTTTGGGCTTTTCCTGCCAACAGCTGCCTGTAAGGTATCTAACCCAGTGCCTAATTATTATACATATAAAGCCAGTATTATACATATAAAGGAAAAAGCCACTAACATCACCAGAATAAGTTATCTTTACCACTAGGGCTAGAAACTCTCAAAAGAGGAGCAGAATGTAAGACATACCCACTATAGTTATTTTGCATCCAGTAAAAAAGCAACTTAAGCTCATTAAGTGAACAATTCACTAAGAGCACCTCGCAACTGTCACAGAACAGGGACACTTTTAACATTCCGACAGCTCTGTTCTACACAGCAGTCGTTACACACTTTCATTGTCTTGTCTTCTACATAAAAACAATCGTATTAGGTGTGGCAGGAACAAGCTGACTTTATGCTGTACATTGACTGGAACTCAGACTATCAGTTCCTGAAATTTCATTATACTATTCTGTAAAGCTGCCTCACGGAACCCCTTGATTAACAATACTCAGAAATTAATTATCCAAAGGACATCTCAGGTATCCAGCAACTCGATCCAGAAATGCAGAATGCCTCATCCACAAGCACCTTATGCTTCCATCAAAATGCAGCCTGTACATCAGACCTCCGTTCTCATCCCTGCTAACTACAATGGAAATCGAGAGTCTCCTGCTATTGTTAGTCGAAATGGGACACGAAGATAAGGGGAAGCACCTCTCACTTCGACAGTGCTCCCTTCAAACACGACAGACACCCTATCCTTGGTCCCTTGCTCCAGGAGATCCGGACTTCTCCACGGATTGCATGGGAAATGACACGTGTACACAGGGACCTCCCAGAAGTCCGGGGTAGACTCTCGGGGGCATGACCTGACACCGACCCTCGTGTTCCAGCACCACGGGGAAACCCCGAGGCTGCGAGCGGCACACTTGGCCCCCTCTCCCAGGGGTCCCGCCGGAAGGAGGCACCGACCCCGCAGCGGCCGCGGGCCCCACCTTTCCCCGGCGGCACGGCGGCAACTGCGGCCACCCCGGGGCTGGAAGTCGCGACAGTGGCGACGCTGCCTCCGATGGCGATGGCGGCAGCGCCGGTGCCCCGGCCGAGCAGCGCCTCTCCGGAGTCCGCGTCGCTGCCGGAGCCCCCCAGGAGCCCGGCGCTGGCGGGGCTGAGCGCGGCGGAGCCCAGGTCGTCGCCGAGCAGGCGGGCTTCGCGGCGCAGGATCTCCTCGGACTCGCGGAGGTTGCTGCGCCGCAGGAACTGCAGCACGGCCACGAGCGTCTGCCGGTCCAGCGCCGCCGGGGAGGCGGCCGGGCCCGGCCCCGCGGGCTTCGCGGGCGCCGCATCCCCAGCGCCCGCCGCGGCCTCTCCCTCCGCCGCGGCGGCCATGGCGGCGGCGGGAGCGGCGGCGGGAGCGGCGGTGGCGGTAGGCACCGCGGGCGGCGGCGGCGGCGTCCCCGCCTCGGGGTCCGGCTGCGCCGCCGCCACCTCCGCCGGCTCCTCATGCAGCGCCGCCATCTTGCGCCGCCGCGGCCGCCGCCACGCGCGACCGCCCTTGCGACAGTGAGGGCAAAGGACGGGCAAGCCGCCGCTGCTTCGGGCACGCGACGGCTTCGTTTTGCGACGCTGGCGGGAGCGCTTTCCGGCTGTGAGGGGCGGCGGGAGCAGGTTTGTGAGGGGGTTTCTCGGGGCTCCTTGGAGGGTACCAAGGATGGCCTTGGGATTGTGTGCCCTCTGGGGCCTTAGCGGCCGTGCTCCGAATTAGGTTAATTATGGCTGGGCCGCTCGGTTTTTCAGGTATTTCTAATACTGCTTCTTTTATTCGTGTTTGTTAAACAGAAGTTCTTTTGTACTCGTGGAAAGGGTGAGAGAGCAGGGGGTGTTCGGGTTGGAAAAGGCTCCGAGGAGACCTTAGACCACCTTCCAGTGCCTAAAGGGGCTACAAAAGAGCTGGAAAGTGACTTCTTACAAGGGCGCATAGTGACAGGACAAGGGAGAATGGCTTTAGACTGACAGAGGGCAGGTTTAAATTAGATATTGGGAAGAAATTCTTCCCTGTGAGGATGGTAAGGAACGGGAACAGGTTGCTCAGAGAAGCTGTGGCTGCCCCATCCCTGGAAGCGTTGAAGGCCAGGTTGGATGGGGCTTTGAGCAGCCTGGTCTAGTGAATGGTGTCCCTGCCCATGGCAGAGGGTTGGAACTGGGTGATCTTTAAGGTCCCTTCCATTTCATTATGTTACAGAATTAAAACCTTATTTCGAATGAAACTGGTATCTTGTGATTGACGTTATTTTGTGACAAATTAAACGTGTGCCATCGCTTCACTAGAGAGTCAATTGAAAAAAACTAAGAAAAAGAACCCTCGGGCTATAAAAACTGCAGACCAGTTGTGACTTAGCGCATGCGTGGTGGCTCTGTCCCGTGTCCGCTTTGACTACATTTCCCAGCGTGCCCCGCGGCGTCCCCGCGCATGCTCCCGGCGCCGCGGAGAGACCCGCGGTGATCGCGGTCCGTGGACATGGAGGAGGGCGCTGGGAGCGGGGTCTCGGGGCCGTCGAGCGCGGATGGAGCGGGAGCGGGAGCGGGAGCGGGAGCGGGAGCGGGAGCAGGAGCAGGAGCAGGCCCGGCCCCGGCCGATGAGGACCGGGACATGGAGGGGGCCCCCAGCTGCTCGGGGTCGCGCTCCGTCCCCTTCGAGTTCCAGCGGAGCCGCTCGGAGTCCACCGGCGATGAGGACGACGACGACGACGAAGACGACGACGAGGAGGAAGAGGAGCTGGAGGGGGACGCCGGGGCTCGGTTCGGGACGGATGACGGGGAGCACGACTCGGGCGACGACCGGGAGGTAAAAGGGGCGGGAGGGTTCCCGGGGCTCTCCAGGCCCCGCTCCCGACGTGCCCCGCGTGTGGGAATGGGGCGGTTTAATGTTTGTTTTATTGTTACCCGAGTTCACTTTGTCCATCTCATTCCAAAGAAGCCCTTACAAACTCTCGGCGTGGCTGAGAGGGTGGTAGGCGGTTGCATGTGGGCGAAATGAATGGTGGTGTTGAGTGAAAGAAAGCCCTTCAGTCGGCTTTCAGACGAGAGCAAACGGGACGTAAAAACCTAATGTGTTACCTTCTTCACACGCATCTCAGATCGTTGCTATTGAAAAATTTGTTCTTTTTTTGAGATAGTGTTGTTCAGATAGGAAAGTTGTTGTGGAACTACTTGTGTGCTTTCCTGATAAGTGTATTTTCGTGAACAGAATTCAGAGCAGTGAAGTTTCACTTTTTGCTTCAATATGTGTTTGTATAATCCCTAACTGTGTGTAGAAACAAGAGATGGCTGTCCCTTGTGATATAAACTCGTTATATATCTTGATTGTGGGCCCCAAAACGCCTGATGAGCATTTTCAAATAATGATATTGTTTGCTACCCCTATCCACTTCAACCTTGCTGACTATTTGATATTTTTTAAAAGAGTTTATGCAAAAGAACTTTTCTCAAAATGATTGTTTAAAGTTTGCTTTTTAGATATGATTCATGAAACCAGTTGGATTGCCATTCTCCAAAAGGTCAATTTAGAAGACTAGGTGAAAGTCTTTAGAAAAGATCTGTATGTGAGGAGTGATTGACCTCTTAGGAAAAGTCATTCCTCTAGCCTGTTGATCCCAGGTTTTTTCATGGTTTAAGGCTACGGTATATTGGAAGTTGCAATCAGGAAATTTCAGGGCTTAGCCTGTGTATTCAAACTCTTACAAACTGTCTTTGTTTGTAGCGTATGATAAACCTCACAGAGTTGACCCCTTATATCCTGTGTTCCATCTGCAAAGGTTACTTTATTGATGCTACAACTATTACAGAATGTCTGCACACCTGTAAGTATCAGTGTTATCTGTTTAAGAGTTTAGTTGCAAATTCAAACAAAATCAGTGTTGAGATGTTCTGGGTTCACAAAAATAATTGTTTGAAGTGAATGTGTGTTGTGTTTATTCTGTTCCATAAGGGACATATATTTGTGCATACTTAAAGCATCAGAAAATCATGAAATCACTCGATCACCAAGTCTGCTTTCCAAGTTAAGAGGGAAAACGATGTAAGAGAAGAAAAAGCCCAAATAAGACAAAAATAGAGCTGCTATGTACACTTTCTTAATTACTTTTTTTAAGTAGGCTCCAGTAATTTGAGTATATAACTGAGAAAAGAAAGTTAAGTGGCTCTGCTTATAGTGGACTAAAGAGTTTCCTAAACTGTTGTTGATGTGAATTCACAAAGTTCCATAAGCACCTGTGTGGAAGTACTACTTCAGATATAGAAATTGTGGTCTGCACCCATGGAAAAGTTTGTCTATAATCTCATTAATAGAAATAGATGGGTAATAAAAAAAAATTATTTCGATATGCTTGTCTTGTTCTTCTTCCCCTCAGTCCTAGTGCCAACAGCTTTTCCCTTGGTAACAGAACCATTTTCTCTTAAAGCTAGTATAACCCTTTCTGTGAAGCTGATTTTCAGCTACACCCATGTTCCTACCTGAATCCGAGAATCCTGGCTTCCTAGACCTCCCAACCACTCACAATACAAAGAGGGAAAACTCTTTTTCATTTTTTTTCCCCCTTTTTGGGGGCACTGCTGACTAGTTTGTTATATAGCTGATAGTGTTCAGCACAGTTTGTAATTTAGGAAAAAGCAGAGCTGTTAGTAAGGACAACGTAATGTTGCAAGTGCAGCTGTGGTGGTCTCGTAGAAGTTTCCTGGTAAATGCTGTGGAAAAGTTTGTTGTATTCAGGCTTGTAGGGAGCTGATTTGATAGTAGGTTATATATTCTAGATATTTTCACTTGTTAGCTTTTCTTCCAAGTTTTTTAAGTACATGTAAAACAGAATGAAAATGGCAGTTATGATTTCTTACTTTGCTTCTACTGAAACTGTTTTAGGATATTTTTCAGCAGTCAGTATTCTGTTGTCTTAGTTCTACTCATGTTCTAGATAACGCAGTTGCAACATTGAACACCCACCTTTGCATCAGTTGAATTAGGAGTGTTCAATGACTTACTTCATTTTGCCTCTTGACAAATTTTATTTGGGAGGTCTGGGTGTAATTGTTCCTCTTGCCTGAGCAGATGGCACTGTATAACGGACATGTGACTCCCACGGGGTTTCTTTTCTTTACAGTTTGTAAAAGCTGCCTTGTGAGACACTTCTACTATAGCAACAGATGTCCAAAATGCAATATTGTTGTACATCAGACACAGCCCCTTTATAATATCAGGTAATAAGTTTGTGCCATTTTTTATAGATTTGCTGCTTGCTTTTAAATGTTTTGGTTTGCAGACTTGTAGCACTTTCCTATTTCAAATGAAGGAACAGCTGCAAGAAACACATTGTGTTCTTTGTTTATGTAAGTTTCATCTCAATAGTTAAGATAAAACCCCCTCAATATACTGTTTTATCTAGTTTGTATCCATTTCTAGGGTTTATTACCTTCTACCCTGGTTATTTTTATGTGTTTACTCAATGTTGGAGGTGATATGAGCTGCATCATACAAAGATGAAGCTTTGTTGGCATGGTATACTTATTAACTGAAAATTGAGTTTTAACTTTTTGAGCTGTTCACAAAGAGTGGTGCTTTGAACTTTACATGACTTTTGTTGGAGCTCTGCTGTCAGGATGTGTATTTTGAAAGATGTGGAGTTGCTGCTCCACATGCTCCTTTACATACGTCATCTTTCAACAGCGAATTTTGCATCTTTGTTACAATAAAATGAAACCCTTTCATGTTGCACCAAAGACTTTCTTTTCTTTTTTCTATTTTGTAGACTGGACCGGCAACTGCAAGACATAGTCTATAAATTAGTTGTCAATCTTGAGGAAAGTAAGTCCCTTTCTTTATTGCCATATAGAAATTGAAAAGACTGAACAGGAAACAGAGTAATTAAAAGCCCTGTTTCTACTCTGGACTCTTTAAAATAGTTTTGTAATGTTTGGTTATAAACCTTAATGAATTAACTGTGATTACTGTCATGTTTCTGCCTGCTAAGCGCTATTAAGGGTAGCAATGTGTACCCTATCTCGTGAAACACAGGTGTCACTGTATTCAGGTAAACATCCAGGCAATATTTCATAGTCATGCCTCTTACTTTTGTAGAAGTATACCATATTCTGTGTAACAAGTTCACTTGACTTGGTTGAAATAAGTTGCTAAGACTGATTCTCTCAAATTCTTTTATTTTTTCTTCTTTTCTGCCATATTTATTTGTCTGATTTTTAAATGTGTTCACTTTCTCATTTACTTTCAACTTTGGGAGCCAACAATCTAGTGGATATGTATGGACTATAAAAAGTATAAAAAACAGTCATGGATGCAGAAGGGTACTGTTTTTTGCAGCTGTCTCAATATGATTTATGGCAAGTTTCTCTGATTTCTTCACAGTTTTTACTAACAAAATGTTATTCTGACTATCTTAAGTATCTCAACCTCATATGGAATACTAGTGATGGTGAAGGTCTGTAGGAAATTTGAAAATTTTTACTGTTCTGACCATTGGAATTTACATAGATATTTTCAGCATCTGAAATAACATTTCAATCTGTGTATTGTGGCTTTTCTTTTTTTCAGGAGAGAAAAAACAAATGCATGACTTCTATAAAGAAAGAGGATTAGAAGTGCCCAAACCAGGTGAGCTGTAATCACTTTAGGGGACACTGTTAGAGAAGTACTTACTATATAATTTATTCATAAGACCTTAAAATATTAGCTCATAACTGACAGAGATGTGTGTATTGGAAATTTGGAATTCTTGGTTATCTGACTACTATAACTTGTCACAAATCTCAGATTACGAAAATAGATGGAATTGGCAACACTTAAACCAGATAACAGTTGGATTGTTTTAGCTATATATTTGCCTATGACCAGGAAATGTATGTTATATTGCGCATTAATTTTATTTTCTGGACCTTAATAAATAATAGACATTACAAAGGAGTAAAAAATAAGAACTTCAAAGTCTGCTCACAGATTAGGGATTATTCTAATTATTTTGTGTTTTACTATCAAACAAACAGCTCTTAGGAGAAGGGCCTTGCTGGAAGTACTAAAATGCTGGTTCAAATACACAGCATACAATGTAGGAAGACCTGATTTAGTAATAAAAAATAGGATAAATTGTATGGGCTTTTTTTCCTGATGAGTTCTTCTGTTTTGCTTGGTGCATATTAGCATCTTATGCTGTTTTTATTTCAAATTGTCTTTGCATTTTGGCTTTTTGAATATTTTAGCTGTCCCACAGCCAGTTCCAACGAGCAGAGGAAGACCTCGTAAGGTTCTAGGCTCAGTGTTCCAGATTCCACCAGAACTTGACATCTCCATACTTCTGGAGTTTATTGGGTGAGTTGTGGGCAAGTGTAAGAGCAGCTGGCTGACACGAAGGTGCTGCTTGTGTGTGTTGGACCATTAACTGGCCCTTGGTTTTCATTAAATGTGCATTTCTTCATCTCAAATAGCAGTGGGGAGTTGGTTTTAACTTACAGTGCAATAGTGACATCCAATCATAGCTAGATAATGCAAATAATTAAATGCTTAAGATGTGTCTTTCTATGAAAATAGCTTCCCAGAAAGTGTAGTTTTAAAACTTACATGTGTTTTGGTTTTGACAAGGCAGCACAGTCTCAGTAAACTGAACGGTGGAATCCCTGTCTGTTCCAGTCCCCTCATCCCTGTAGGTGGCAGTACTGTTAATGCTGGCTGTCCTTGGATTGGCTTGTGGGAAGTGTAACTTTTACCTCTACCCAGATTGTGCCTCCTTTTGGCCTGAATTTGTCTGAACAAAACATTGAGACCTCCAATACATAATCATAACAAACTATTACACAAGTGACATAAAATTAAGCCCTCGGAAACTCAGAAGTTCTATTGGCAAAGCATATCTTGGTTCAGCCTCACTCTCTGTAGACATCTTTTTATATGTTATGTCCAGTTTCTCCACTGTGTGTCACTTTATTCAGAGTACAGAACAAATTTTCTTCATGGGTAAATTTTAGTAAGGTAGGTGGTGGCGTGTGATTTTCTGTTTTGTTGGCTTTATTTTTTTGTTGCCCATCGTGTGTCTTCTTTATTTCTTTAAATGGATGAGGAGTGGGACTGCAGGAAGAAAAGGGAAGGTCTTAAAGCCGAACCTCTAGGGAACAAAAGAATATCCTTGTGTGTTAAAGTTTTGACTCCAGGCTCTCAACTCCATTAGATAGGTTTACTGGCACAAATCAGTCATCTAGTAGCTCAAGCTGGTACCTCACTAGAGGGACCAGAACAAAAGAAATCCCTGGGCAACTACACTCTTATGACCTAAACTCCCCATCCCTCATGGAAGTCCAGAACAATAGTGATTTTAGGGTCTGGGATCTTCTCATTCTTCTTTGATTCACTGTTTCGTTATCCAGTGCTTGCTGTGTGATCATCTTCACATCCTCTTTAGTCTGTTTTGGTCAGTTCTGTGGTCCATGTTGTAATATGGTTGTTACTGTTCATATACGACAATTTATGGGCTGTCCACTCCCGCTGTTATTTTTTAAATAATATTTAAGGTGCTAGCTTTGTCCGTTCGAACTCTTGTTAATGTTCAAGTTGTTAGCTGCAGGTTTTGCTGTAACCCATCTTTGATTTATGCAACAGAGCCATGTAGTTCAAGTAGAGTTCAACTTGCGGCCTAACAAACAATCCTTGCTACTAATGTCAAGCAAGCACTCAGCTGCTTTCAAATAAGATAAAATTCTTGACACTGTGAATCCACATACCTGACTTAATTTCAGTTCATTTTCTCATGCCTGCCTTCCAGCTGAATGCTTACAAGCACAGCTGACAGCAGTGGGAGTCATTACTAAAACTATCGAGTGTTCTGCAGGCAAAACCAATCTTGGTTCATCTTGGTTATGAGGGATTAATAAAGCATTTTGGATAAAGCAAACTTGGAATAGCCAGAAGAAATTGTTACTTTGAAATTCTCTATTGTGTGTTTAGAGTATATAATCTAGTCACCTGTGGCTGTGGAACTGTATCAAATAAAATGACAGCTGTAGTGAAAAAGCTTTTCTATGTTTCTTAGCTCATGATAGCTTTACTTAACTCTGATATCTGGTATATATTTAGAGGTGGAGATGCTCAATTACGGTAACTTGAAGTACTGTGCTAATGTGTGGTCTGCACATTTATTTGTTATACCAAATGGTCAGTTGATTTACAGTGATGTTTGATTTTTGCCTTCTCCAGTGCAATGAAATACTTCATTTTTTCCTCTCTCATGTGTACTTGCTAATGCAGTGCAAGAATAATGAAATGTCGTGGATTGGGTTTAATTAAGGGGCAAATTTATATGTTGCACTACAAGAAGGTGTGAAGTATGGATGATCAGTGGTAGGTCACAGGCTCCGGATGTGCAAATCAGTGAACCTTGGTGGAAGCCAGCTGGGAATTTGGTCATTTGCCATCTTTGTGTGTATTTCACATTCCAGAGAAACGCTGCTTTTCTGAGTTCCGAGATAACATTAATATTGTCATATAAATAGTCTGGAAGGCCAGCAACTGGCTCAGAGAGCCCTTTAGGTGTTTATGTGTGTTCTGTGAGTAACTTCTTAGGTACTGTCTGCTGAAGTTCCAAATATCAAGGACCTTGAAGTATGGATATTTAAGCAGCATTAATATTTGCAACCAACTCCTATGAAATTTAATGTTGTGTTTAAAAATGGCTGTAGGCTGTGTTGGTTTTTACTCCCATTTCATGTAGACAAAACTTAAAGTCATAAATAGTTGAATTCACAAGAAAAAATTGAGCAGAAAAATAAGGGATAGGAGAAAAAGATGTATAAATTTAGTCTAATATTATTTCATGTATTAGAGCCTGAACTGGGAAAATAAACTTGATATGCAAGACTCATAAATCAATAAGTCTCTGTTATAAAGAGCTTGAGGATATTATTAACTGTTAGATTTAGCAATATTGACTGTGTTTACTCTTGGGTTTTTTCGCAGAGCTAACGAAGGCACAGGGAATTTTAAGGTACAGATGTGATTTGAATTTTTCTTTTATGGTTTATTTCAGAAATAAATATACCCTGAATGTATTTAATTTAGTTTGGTTTTCTTACACTGAATGCAACCTGAACTTTCATCAGCATAGTAATAACCAATATTGGATTGCAGTGTGTACTTTCAAACCTATTGTTATATACCATCATGCCTATCCAGCATTTTTTCTTCTTTTTACCCTTACATTTCATGTTCTTGCCCTTATATCACCTCCTACCCTTTCTGTCTCACTCCTTTCTGCTTTGTTGTTTGTCCTGTTTGTTTTGGGCTACACAAAACAGGGCAGTTGTGATGCCCCACCCTTAAGGGAAATTCCCTCACGAGAACTAGGTGTAGAACTTAATATATATATATATATATATATATATATAAGGGATATTTTATATATATATATATATATAAGGAGTTATACTTAATATATAAGGGGTTTCAACTGTCCTTTTTTTAAGTGGGGATGGGGGAATAGAGGACAGGTTACCAGGTCCATGGCCATAAACTGATTTATACATGCAGCAAGCCTAAATTCAGCATCCTCGAGCTTGCAGCAGCAGGGTCCCCAGATCAGGTCTGACTGTAATTTCTAGCTCTTGCACATGAATAAATCAAACTATTGTCCCAAAGCAGAGTTATCATGGATACTTATTTAAATGCATGATTGAATTCAAGGGTAGTCCATGACCCTCAGCTCGTTCTTTTATTTTGAAAGAATACGATGAACCTGGGTAGTAAATCACATCTGTTCAGAAGTCAACATAAAAATCCAATCAATTGACACAAAAAGTAATCCATGTATCACACCGAATGCAGTCATCTGCTCTGCCTTTGTGCCTTTTCGTGTAGTCATCCATATCACCAGTCAGCTGTTTAAAATTTAATCCATAGAATGGAAGCCTATTAAAATTTTTGAGTCTGACATAATGAATGTCTTCTTGTTGCAGTCCTGTCTGTGAAAGTATTTAGGAAAAAGCAAAAAGATTTAAGACTAGTCTTGCCCTTGTTTTCTGCATAATAGTGTATTTTAATTGATTCTGGAATTTCATGGGCTATTAAGCATGAGCCATACTACTTCTAGAATGCTAAAGGACTTAAGCTCCTTGCATCATAAAATGATGGGGTTTAAGTATCTGAATTGTGTTTAGTATCCAAATCGCCTGATTTGGAGAAAATATGGAAACATTAGGAAATTTTCTTGTGCTTCAGATGAGTAAATCCTTGTAGGGGGAGAAGTTCTTAAAATAAAATAGGACCAAAGTCAGTCGCTGGTTATTTTTTAAATGTTTTAAACAGAAGGAAGTTTGAATACAGAGTCTTAATACATATTTATTTCTTTCCCTATGAGGTAATCTGCAAGTAGATCAGAGAAAGGTCCAAAAATTTAAGCTGTCTCCCTTTGTTATTGGACGGTCACTTGGGTTTGGAGTTTACAAGGGATGAGGGCTGAAAATGTACATTGTCTTAAAATCTTTACTTATTCTTTGCAGCCTTTGGAAAAGAAGTTTGTACGTGTTTCTGGGGAGGCAACAATTGGACATGTGGAGAAATTCCTCAGAAGAAAAATGGATCTGGACCCTGCTTGTCAGGTATGCACTTGCAGTGGCACTTACAAGTTCCCTGTGATCAGTGTAATGCCTCTGCTTTGGGCAGACATTACCATTGTTCTTTAGATTCTAGAAGTGATGTTAGATTAATGCAGTAAGGATTAAAAACCTAATTGTTTGAAATGTTGTGATCTGCAAGGAGCAGCTCTCCTAGCTCATTCGCAACCTCTTTAAATTTTCATAATACTTTATTAATTGGATAGAGTTTTTAAAGTGCCATTTAAGATTTCAGCTGATGAAATTCAAAACTAAGAGATACTGCTGTTTCAAAGGTAAAACTGGGCAGGAAAGTGTGGGAATGTGGGAGTATATGAAGGCAGGAGCTGAATAACAATAAAATTTAACTGAATACAAACAAGGGCTAAGAAAGAATGATGGATGTGTTGAAATGAAAGGTGCGAATGCAAATATAGACACTTCCCTCCAAATAAGAATTCAAAGGAGCAAAATAATTTAGCTTCATATTTCTCAACCATTTTGAGAGGAACTGCATGTCAAAACCAGTTTTTCAATTCTTCAGTGTATTTCAGCAACCATTCTGTTGAGAAAATGTGGGAGTTCTGTAAGGTGTAAATAATTCTTAAAGCTGTCAATTATTGGAAAATCAAGCTGATACTGCTGTGAATAGGCAAATGGTGGAACTTAAATGCTGGGTTTGGAGTTAAGGCTGTTTTCATACAGCAGTAAGTGTCTGAGACAATACTGCATGGCTGTGTGCCTCAGTAATGAGTGTTTATTCATGCTGCTTACCTTTTAGTGGTGACAAAGCAAATCAGATATAAATTATTCATCGTGCTGAGGAAGTAATGTATTTTCATTTGCTGGTTTCCTCTCAGTGGGAGTTTCTAGCTTTCAGGTGGTGATGACTTGATATTCTGAACAAATAAAAGTATCCTCAAAATGAGGCTAGAGAAGCTTTTTGCATTGTGTTGTGGTTTATTTGAGGGGAATGAGTTGTTTTGTTTGGATTTTCTTAAGTAGGACACCGGAATCTCAGTTTTCAGGAATACTGAGCAGCTGTCATGGAAATTGCAGGTATTCATTTTTCAAAATTAGGCTGGGCCCATGTGTAGTGGTCTTTCAGATTTTGCAATCTTGAGATCATCTAACAGAGCTAACTTGAGCGGTTTTCCCCCATTAGTTACTTTCTACTTGGACTTTGCCAGACAGATATGATCCCCTATTAGTGGGCAAATGTTTTACTCATTCCCTGTTAGAGCTGATTCAGTGACCAAGGGATAGGTGTGTTACCCGTTCTCCTGAACTGCTGACTGTGCTCGGGCCTCTTCGGCTTAATTTGTTCGTGTGCAATGTTAGCCAATACTCGCCTTTCTTCATTGACCTGCACCACACTGAGGTTAATGAAATTGTACAATAAGCCAGCTGACTCATGTGTGACAGTATATATAAAAGCAATTTTGAAGCCACTGCCTTTGTTCTTTTTTTTCCTAGTCTGAGGCTTCAAATTATTTTCAAATTTCTGTATTTGAGTTTGCAAATGGAATATGATTCAAATTTCCTAGTTTATCTGAAGGTTAAGGCTTCATTTTTATCTACTTCTTGAGCTGGTAATTTATTCTTTCTGATGCTTTGTTTTGATCTCTGTGCTTTGGGCAATGATTAATTTTCTGTATATGTTTATGTATACTTCTAATTACACGGTCTTTCTTGAATATTCTTGCTGGAATTTGTTAGGAGAGGGTGAAAATAATTTTTGAGAAACTGGAATCGCTGTTAATAGCTGAGTACGTAACATTACATGTGAGCTAAATACAGGCTATGGTGTTTGGAGCCATTAGATTCTTGTCTTCAGCATCTGATGCAGAAGTTTTCTTTACAGTGTGATTTCCTTTGAGGTCATCCTGCAGCAGCAGTATCCCTTCTTGGTATTCATTCTGTAAGGATGAGAGTGATTGCTGAAAGACTTGTGGCTTGGCTGGTCCAAATACATTAACGTAGTTTGTGGAATAGAAGTGTTCCATTACCAGATGTGCATTCCTGAAAGTGTGTGTGTGAACTGCAGCGTAGGGGAAGACTGGAAGAAAGGAAGTCTGTGCTCATACAGTGTAGCTGTTGATGCAGTTTCTTTATGCCATTCTTAAACCCTGGAATAGAGGTATCCGGTACCTTTTGAAAAGTAAATAGCAGCTAGAGGAAATGGGAAACTTTGACAGCTTTTTGAATAACTAGCCCAAATTCTCATGTCAATCTCTAAAACTCTGTGTTTTCCTTGCCCTTCCCTGGATAGTATGGGTTGGCATAGAAACTATTGATTGAAGTCTACTGTTTTCTGGGCCAAATTCTCCCTTGGGATGAAGCTTATATGCAGTGTCCCTTACATGAACTTTTTCTATTTTTATTTCTGTCTTACTTAGTGATTATGAATTTATAAATGTCATCGTGGCTTTTAGAGAAATAGCTCTTATAGCAGATAAGCCACCTAAAGAAAAGAAATGGCATAATAGAAAGCCTACTTTATTTTAGTAAGAATTGTAACAAGTGACTGAGTATTCAGCATCTACACCTTCATGCTTCTTTTCAGCAAAGGGTCAAGCTACATTTATTACTCACAAGCAATCAGTACCAGCTGATTTCAATTATACCAAATTTTAGTAAATCTATAGTACTCATTGCCTCTTTTGCAATGCAATGTATTAATTCCTAAACAAGGATTCCTCTGAAACACATCCCACAACTCATTTTCACACTGAACTGGGATTTTTTTTAAGTATATATTTCGTTCTTTTGTCCTTACAGAATGAATTCTAGCATAACAATTAGCAGGCAGAATTTCAGGCTTTGGTGCTGGAATTAGATGGTCAGGCATTTGGTATTCAGAGCATTCTAGTACAATAAATGTGAAAAACTCTTCTCAATTTATTATTAGACACTGGCTCTTTAATGACTATCACTTGAAACTGGAGCAGCAGGTACAACAATGGGATACTTTCAAACAAGCATTCTAATTCTGTTTCGAGAGATTGTCAGCAGCTGCGACTGTGTCTGTTTGCATCTTATATTGGTCAAACAGATTAAATTTTCTGTTTCTTTAGAATATATAAAATATGTATGTATGTATGTATATATGTTTCAATGGGACCAGGATTGAGTTTTCAGTACCTTATAGTATAAAAATAAGCTTATAAAACAGAAGTAATTAAACTCATATATCACTGAAAAGCAAAGCAGACATGTCTGTCTTCCTGCAGCATTAACTGTAGAGGCTGAAATGCATGGAAAATAGGAGAAATAACTAGCCAATTTTCAAAAAGAAAAGAAATATATGTCTTTCAGGTGCCATGTTAAATATATGCATTTGTGTGTATATGGATCAGTATTTAATCTTACATCCAGATTAGTTTTTACTTGCTGGTTTACTTCTAGAAGCTAAAAGCAGAAATAATGCTAAGCAGTTTACATCTTCTGCATGTAAACAATCAACCTAACTTGAAGAGAATGTTCTACATCGTCCTCATAGGATACAGATGGTGAAGTAAATTAGCCCCTTTTGAGCCTCTGAGGAGTAGAATTCCTGTGTTCCCGAGTCTCAGAACAATGTGGTCTGCCAGCATGAGGCATAAATCTTGCCAAATCTCTTCATGAAGAACAAGAGAGATATAGTGGGTCAGCACACAGAAGAATATAAATCCAGGGGAATTGAATAGCTGCAGCACAGAGTGCATCCTGTCCTGGAAAGTGGCCATATAAGAGAATACGTCATGATATTGCAGTGTGCTCCCCGACTGCTGCAGGGGCAGAGCTGAGACAATTTCCTTGCAGAAAGCTGTGGGACAGCTCAGTGTCAATGCTCTTAACTTCAATTTTAAGGTTTTTTCAAGTCACAAACGAGAGCACTCTCACTTCCATATCTAGAAATAGCTCATAAGGGAAATTTAAGCATGCTGCAGTTGAGAGAGAAACAGTGCTGTGTTAGCTGCTCTAATTTGGGATGTTAAAGACTGGATTTGCGTTGCACAGTAAATTAATATAATTTTATAAAGAAGCCTATTTTTTATAATAGTTAAGGCAAGGAATTCAGAATACCTCGTTATGGGCTTTTTCCCCACAAAATTACTGGTTTTGTGGGCAGTTACTTAAAAAAAGTGCCTCGTCTGAAATTGCATACAGCATTGACACAGTTTAGCTGCAGAAGAGGACAATGCATAGAAGTGCTGAGTATGTCCTGCAGTTGTATCCCAGAAATACTGACTGGGTGCATGTTAAAGGAGGACTGTGTGATGTACCAGCTGACAGGGGCATGCAGTGAGATTAAAACACTTCTTCCAAACACTTCTTAAGTGAACTTAGTCACATGTTTTCTCACTCTAGGTAGGAATGAGGCTCACTTTCTGTCAGCGGCACAAACAACTGTCTTTTGCCACTGATGTGACAAATGATTCCAGATGGTTTTGGCATCACTGTAATACATGATCTAAATTCCCATTAAATTCATCACAGCTATTACTAAACAGCTTCTTTCAGTGGGTGCACCAAATTGTGAGTGAAACAATAAACTGTCCACTCTGTTCCAGCAGTGAGCCCCAAGTCAGGGCCATGGGGTGAGAGGCATTAGGGCAGTGCAGTAGTGCTGTGCATGCTAAATACGTTTGCACAATAAAGGTAAAGATGACTTGAGTGTCTAACATGCTAGAATTGAACTCTGCTAATCAAATTAAAAGGCCTTAGGTATGGTTTTGCTACTGCAAAGGTAGTTGAACTTGACCATGTTTGTGTTCTTTCACAGGTGGACATAATATGTGGTGATCACCTGCTGGAGCACTACCAGACACTGAGGGAAATTCGTCAAGTCATAGGAGAGAGCGCAGTGCAGGTACGTGTGGCAGCTGGGGCTTTGTTCCAGGTTTTCTCTTTTCAGAGAGAAGATTGGTTCTTAAGCTATCAGGAAGCACCAGCTTGTCTGAAGAAGTTGCTCAGAAGATCTCTCCAGCTTATGCAAAATGTTGTTTATCTTTTAAGTAGAATTGAGAAGTGCACCATGTGCTGACAGTGTTCTTGACCATTTTCATGATGTTCTGGATATGAGGTTTTTGTGTTGGGTTTTGTTTGGGGTTTGGGTTTTTTTTCCCCCAAAACAAAAAAGGGATATATTATATCAGCCATTCTTTCAATTACCATGGCTTGTTTTTCCTCCCTGGTAATTGCATCTCTGCAAGAAATTGGAGGACAAATCCTAAATAAGGCTATCCTTGTAACTGAGTAAGGAGGATAAACTTGCTCATAAAAACACAAACCAAAGATGGAGGGTAGTGAATGCAGTTAATAGGCTTGATGCATATTGTACTGGTTCTGCTCACAGCATGGCCAACTATTCCTTGTTGGTAACTTACTGTCCTTAGTGCTGCTGGCTTTACAAATAAGAAAGCGTTTGGTTTTAAGTCTTTGTGAACCTTTTCAAGCATCTTTATAATGGGAAGGATCACACCAGTTTACAAGTGCTGCAAAAACAATGAAGTAGTCTGCATAGTGCATAGTAGAATAGAGATGTAAAATCATGATATGGTAAACTGTATATTAATATGAACTTTGAAGTTTGAGAAGGTAATGTTTAGTCTAATACAGTGGGGAAAATAGGATTTAGATTGGTGTTTTATTTGGAAAGCAATCTAAACAGATAGTAGAAGGGCTGAAAAAGTTGCAGAATCGTTTCTCTTCACTTCTTTGTGCACACATATGCACATACTTTTACATTGAAATTTCCTGCTGAGCCCTCTCATGCTACAGGGAGGCTTCTGTGTCAGGGCCAAGAAGTGGAAAGGTGATTTTGAGATATCTTGGGCTTTGCATCACCTGTACCTGATTTGAGTCACTAGGAGGAATCCCACAGTCAAGGCAGAGGTATTTGGTTTGTAGTTTTGGCAGACATTAAGTCTCTAAAGCTTGTGCTGTTTCTGCAGTCAAAGTGAATATATGCCATAATTGATGTTTTAGCTGTTTATATTTGAAGAAAAATGAAAATGTAACCTAACCCTCTTTGAGGAGCAGAGGATAGAAACTGTGAGGAAGCAGGTACTGGTAACAAGCTTGTTTCTAACATAATATGTTCATTTTAAGTAAATTCAGCAGTCAGCATATAATGCTGGAAGTGCCATTTACTAAAAGCTTCAGTAAATGGCGGGGGGATTACATGTTTCTCAGTCCAGGGGTATAGTCACAAAAATGCTTTTTAAACTTGATCTTAGCATGAAAGCCTTTAATGTATGGAAAATACTCTTGGGGAAGCACTTTAAGGAATACTGCCTGAGTTTCATTTCTTGTCAGAAATGGATCTGTCTGGTTGAAGTTTAGTGTCTTTCATTTGTTGTCAGAAGTGGGTCTGCCTGATTGATGTTTAGTGATGAGGTACCAGTCAGCAGCTCCACAAAGAGAACAGTTGTCTTGGGATACATTTTGCAGTGAGGTTTCAAGTCTCATTTATTACAAAATCAGTATGCTAGCAGTTAATTCCCTCAAGACTGCTCTATTGGACAAATAAACAAAAAATATCTTTGCTGTTTTTGAAGTCCTGTGCTTTCATAGTCACTCCCGACAGGAAACTTGAAAGATCAGGTTCATCCTTAATTTTTCTTCATTTTGTTAGAAAATCTCTTAGGATACCAAATAGTTACAGTAGGAACGTTGCAAATAAACCACAGTTGCTTCTTTTTTCATATTGAAATAATTGTGACATTTTCATGTTCTTTAGTCTAACATTATATTATCTTTTAGAAATCATGAGGATGCATTTCTAGGATGAAATAAACCTTGGAAAATATTTTTAGATAATTATCCAGGAAAAAAAATAAACTGATAGGTCAAGTCTAAAAATAATGAGTGTTTATTTTTCACCAGGACCTGAAATTCAATAAGAGGCACAGTTGTCCTGGCCAGTGAGACATCTACAGAGGAATATTTGATGAATTTTACATTAAGCTCCAAGGGCATCTTGTGCCTCTGTAACTTTCCAGCCTTTCCAAATTAGTGTTGGAGCTTGGAACGTCCCTAACAGCTCTCACCGGGACACTGAGACACTCTTCAAAACTGCTCTTGTCATTTACCAGTTTCTGAGGTTCATTATAGATGCTTCATGCTAAGAAAATAGCTTCAGTAGCTACTTCTGCAACACAAAGTCATTTAAGGGAATAAACACTGGGCTTTTGTTTAGATGACTACAGCCACTGTTAGAGGGGAAAAAAGACCTGCTGTTTTTCACTTGCTAGTTCATTCGTGTCAGCAGTTATTCTTTTTGCTGGGGAAAGTGATTTTAAAAATGCAGATAAATTTCTTTTTCCCAAAGACATTAATTTTAATGTGCATTCTTTGGTAGCATTTGCAATGCAGCATAACATATGTTTGTGTGATTTATTCTTGTGGACCATAATCACTGTGACTTTTTATTTTTAGTGTCTTTTACTCCTCCTGAATTGTTCTTAAATGCTCAGATTGTGAGCACAGTCTTGTGAAGATTTTGGGTCCTGTATTTGTTTTTTTTCCTGCTGACTGGCACTGTGTAGTGGTGCTGTAGAGTCTCAGTAAATTAAAGTCTCCTCTAGGTGCAACTAGCAGGATTTTAGCTGTTCTGAATATGTATGTACCTGTCCAGCAAGTGTGGGAAGATCAAGTGTGATCTGATGATAAAATAAGTGTTTCTGACTCTGGCCCCATAGTAATCTACTCAGGTTGTTTTAATTGAAGTAAATAAGCAACTAATTTTAGTGGTTGAATGTAAGCATGTTAGTTTCTGAGTAGTTGATAGAAGGCTAAAAAAGAATCAGCAATAAATCTTGTTTAATCTTGTAGATCTCAAGATGTTTTGACATTTCAGAAATTGGGTGGTTGGTTGAATCTTCCTAATTAGCTGGAAGTAGGCTTTCTAGCTCTGTTTAGGGCAAAAACATTAAAAAAATTGCTGCACAGAATTTATATAAAAAGAAGCAACTTTGTTTTATTTTTAAAACAGTGTAGAACTTGTGGAATTTACTGCAAGGAGTGATCAAAGACACAGAAAATTTTAAAGGCTGAATTTTGTTACCAAGCATTGAGATCTGTAATTAAGAGTTTGATCAAGTAGCTGAGGAAGGAAGCTTATTATTAACTTTATGGGAATATAATTTCTTCTCTGTATTACCTTCCTCCCCTCTGCTGCACAAATGCAACATGATCCAAGCTGCTGGTTATTTTCATTTGTCTGAAACTGGGCCTTCTCAGAGTTCTGCATCACTGATGGATATAATGAGCTCACACATGGGAAAAGCTAAAAGGAGTGCCTTCCGTGATGTCCTTGGCCCTTGGCACAGAGGTTTGGCAGATTCTAATGGTTTCTTTGTAGCTCTCACCTTTTTGTAACCCAATGCTATTGCGCTATTTTTTTGGTCTCCTGAGCTAGGCAGCAAGAGCTGTGCTCTAATTTAATTACTGTGACCTTCTAGCACACATTTGCTACGGAAGTGTTTTACTCTTTGCTGTGGGATTATTGAACTTGGAAAGTGGGGCACTTTTTTTTGCTGCTGCTCTTATAACATCAGAGGGGGTGTATACTCTGATGTTTCAGTCTGTCAGTTCAACTCTATAGTTGGGTGTAACAGGTTGGGTCCTTTTAAATTTTTTCAGGTCAGGGTCACAAATGTGTGGCAAAGAACACTAGAGAGCTTTGCGTTTCTTTTGAGCCTGAGTTAAACTGGCTTGAGATTTGTAATAAGCAGTGAGAGCACATTCTCTGTTTGGGCTTCCTTTTAAGAACAGTGTCTAGAGAAAGACATGTAGAAATGTGTAATACTTTAGAAGTGAATAATTCCAGAGTAAGAAGTGCCAGTACTGGGGTAACTCAGTTTTGCTTTGTGCCAAAGGAATTGCAGTGGGTTTGGCCTTTGGTTTACCAGGGATATTTCCTGTGTAAATAGATAATTTCTTTAAATGTCCTACTGTTAAACGTACCATTTGAAAACCCATTCATCAAAGAATATATTGTAGCATTTTCTTCTTTTATAAATATTTCTTTAAGAAACTGCCATAGAGGAAGAACTGATTTTGACAACAGTTCTCCAAAAAACAAAGCTTGAAAATGTCTTTATTTTCTCTGTTGAAGTAGCTAATGGGCACAAGGAGTAAGTAGCTTTGTGAAGGTGTAACAACGTCCTGTGTGCCAAGAGGTTCCTAAGTAACCTCATGGGACCTGTTCCGCGTAACAAGAAGTGAGAACAATCATGATTCTTTCTTCATTTTGCAACGTCACCATCCCACTTTAACTCACTTCTTCAGTGTCTAGTATAAAGTTCCTGTATCCTTCTGTATCGTTTTAGGAGTTAGCAATCTATTCCTGGTTAATAACAGGATGAGAAGATGAAGGAAAGTTAGTCAGTTGGCACTAATAACACAGGAATGCATTTGAGGGTTTTAATTGCTGACCATTGAAGCTGAGGTTCATTGACATCTACACTACACTAGGCCTCATTTGTCATCGTAAGCAGCCATGAAACAAAGTGAAGTGCGTGACACTCATGGAGGAACATGCTCTGGAGCTGTTGGTGATCAATTGCTTAATCTTAAATTTAATCCAATACAAAATGGCTCAAAGATTATTTTTTTATGAATAGCTGAGGCTGCACAAACTAGTCAAAACCATTTTTACACAGATAACAAATTATGGTTTAAATAAATAAATATATATATTCTTCCAAAACACCGTGTTCAGACTAAAACAGCACTTTCTCCTGTTACTGTATGATAATACAGGACCTGTAAAGCGATGGCAGTCTTGTTACTTTTTTTGGGTAATTAACTTTTTTATTAAAGATTATTTTTAATATGCTGATATACCCTCTCACACAGAACTGTGTAACTTCTCTGGAACATGTTGTCTTACATCCTGTATGTTAGTAGATAAAAACATCGGAAGCAAAATACAGTAGATAATACTGTGTCAGTTATGATTAATGTAGTTCTCTCTTCAAAAGAAAACTTTTTTTCAAGTCTGTCCATGTAAAGAGGTCTAATGCAATAAGTCAGATTCCCATTGAAGGCAGACTAAGTGCTAGGCCTTTCACCAGCTGAGTGTGAATTAAGTGGCATTAGTAAAGCTAATGGGTCAGAAGTGTCCTGTTTCCCAGGTGAAAGTTTTTTTTTATTATGTGGAGCAGTCTCTGAAGAGGAGAAACATAACTTAATAAACTAATGGTTTGTCATTTGGAGTGTTTTTAATCCAATGTGTTTATTACTTAATAAATGTATATAGTAGTAGTCTAGACTCTTTTACTGCAACTTCTGGCAGCACCTTCTAGAACTACTTAATGGATTACTTTTTCTGCCCCACAGTATCATGTGGAAAGCAGCATGACTTGTAAGCAAGAGCCTATTGCATGGAGATATTTCAATTGTAACTTTAAAATAAAATCAAAGTACCAGATTCTACTTTCTTTTAACACCTTTCTCCATCTCAAGGAGGAAAGGGCAACGTAATTATTTGCCTTCGTATTTCAAAACTTGCATTCTCCGTGTGGAAGGGACACTGTATAAAATGGTGAGATAGTGCCTGGGGTCCTGCCATGCAGTGACTGTCGTGCCAGGTGGTGATGGAAATGCCTCACAGAAAAGGTGAAGTAGGTGATACAGTTTCTTTCTCTTCTCTATAGGATGGTTTGCTTGTACTGCACTATGGCCTGGTGGTATCTCCGCTAACTTAAAGATTGCTGGAATATTACAAGGCAAAAGAATCGGAAGAGTCATGGCGCTTCTTCACTGCTGTTTCTCACCAAAGAAGCCAGCGTATTTCCTGTGGCAGGAAGCAAGTTAAAGGAACTACCACTAACTGCTGTGTGATCGTAGTGTAACATCTGACTTCACCACTGTAAAAAATTGCAGCTTCTGTAAGTACAGCTGTAGATGTTGGTATGCTTCATGTTACAAATTACTGTCTTCAAATTTCACTCAGCTCAGGGAATTTAAATGCTCAGAGTAGCTGCATTTTTTTTACTTTCTAAAAACCACAAGATTTCACAGGGTTAACGGCCTTTTTTTCCTCTAAGCTCTGAGATATCTCTTGCTTTCTAAGTGTCTAGCTAGAACAGTGCTCTCAGGGATGATCTTCAGTGAGCAGTATATCTTCAGTGTATTTTTGGGAGGAGACAGTGAGTTGCCTAAAAAAATGTGTACTGTGATCATCTGTCTTCATATGTGATTTGGGGGTAGGAAGGAAACTAGAAATGCAGACCAAAATAGGTAGAAAACGATGCAACATAAGCATTGGGTTTTTTGAGAAGTAGCATTAAATTTAGTTGTTTTTCTTGAAGAAAGACAATTTTGTTTGCACTGGAAGTATATTTGCTGGTAGTTTGGCTTATACCAAATGGTGGATCATGCATCTCTAGTCTTAATGGAGATGCGCTGGCTGTAAGCTGGTTAAACTATGCATGAAAAAAAAAAGTAGCACCTCTTTCTACCTGCTTGCTGTGTGTAAAGTGATCACTGTCGGCGTGATTCTGCTATCATGAATCTGTCAACTGGCTTGACTGTCAGGAGCATAAATCCATTCACTTTAGCACATACCTCTCTAGCAGCTGTGAAAATGGTTGCTTTTTCCACTCTTTTTAATGTGTTTTAGTGCATCGCAGTGGAGAGCAGGGTTGAGTAATGTAATACTTGCCTGTTACTACCAGATGTGCAGAGGATTTTAGGTAACTTTAACATATTAAAATACTATGGTTTGTGACAACTCTAATACTTCAGATTTTCTTCTGTTTAAGATTTCCATATTTTCTTGTGCAGCACTAAGGACCAGAGTGCTCTGTGTGTTATGGTCTTGCTGGTCATTGGTGTGGGGATCCATGAAAGCTACCAGGAGGTACCAGGCTTCTTCCCTTCCCTATAGTCAGTGTAGGGAAAAGGAGTCTCAAACCTCCATTCCAGTGGAGAAGCAGGTGGACTCAGAGCCCTGCAAGGCAGTTAGTCAAGGGTCTCTTGAAGATGAAGGCTGGAAGCAGGTCACTGCACCAACCAGGAGGAAGGTTGTTCCTCCTTCTGAAAACTTAACAAATAGGACTGACACCTTCTACAACAGCTATGAGGCCCTGGAACTAGAAGACCAGACAGCTGATGCAGTGGGCAAAGGTCCTTCTGGGACTGAAGGGTCCCCTAAACCAACACCACCTGTACCCCACATCACAACCACCTCTGTTAAGAGGAAAAGAAGGGTGGTTGATGGTTGTAATGAGAGACTCCCTTCTAAGGGGAACAGAGGGCCTGATACAGACAGGACCCAACTCACAGGGTAGTCTGCTGTCTCCCAGGGGCTCAGATGGGACATCACTGGAAAACTCTCCAGTCTAGTAAGGCCCTCTGATTACTACCCACTGCTAAGCCAGCAGCGACAAAATAACAAAGAGAAGTCTGAGGGCAATCAAAAGAGACTTCAGGGCCTTGGGGCAATTGGTAGCAGGATCAGGAGCACAGGTAATAATTTCCTCAATCCTTCCAGTAACAAAGAATAATACTGAGAGGAATAGGCAAATCCATCATGTCAACGTGTGGCTCAGAGTCTGGTATAAGCAGAAAAATTTGTAGTTTTTTGACCATAGGATAATCTATTCAACACCTGGTCTACTGACACCTGATGGGATGCACCTTTCTCAGGGGGGAAAAAGCGTTCTAACACAGGAGCTGGTGGGGCTTGTTGATAGAGCTTTAAGCTGGCTTGGAAGGGGGAAAGGGGCAAAACCAGGCTTACTAGTAATGAGCAAGGGATGGTGTGCAAAACTCGAGGAAGGGAACACTAATGGAATCCCTCAATCTGCCTCACGAGTTATTGGGTACAATGTACCACACTTGAAATGTTTCTATAGCAGTGCACACAGCACAAGGAACAAACAAGAGGAGCTCAAAGCTTTGGCCCAGTCCCAGAGATCTGATATCAATGGCATAAGTGAAACCTGGTGGGATGAGTTCTGTGACTGGAGTGCCCTCTGGGATCGTTACAGGCTTTTTGGGGGACAGGCAGAGCAGAGGAGGCAAGGAGTATCCCTGCATCTTTTCCATAGCTGTATGTGAAGGGTTAAAATGTATGGAGCTCACAGTTGGCAATGGCACAGTTGAGAGCCTCTGGGTAATAATCAAGGGGCAAACCAATAATGCAGATGTCACAGTGGGAGTCTGCTGTAGACCTCCCAGCCAGGACAGTGACACTGACAAATTATTCTTTGAGAAACTAAGGGACAATTCCAAGGCAACTGCCCTTGTCCTTATGAGGGACTTCAGATTGCCAGAAATCAACTGAGAGCATCACACAGCTGGTACAACCCGGGCCAGAAGATTCTTAAAAAAACTGGATGACAGCTTTATGGAACAGGTCCTAAGGGAGCCAACTTGGAAAGATGCCCTCCTTGATCTGCTGCTTGTCAACAGAGTGGATCTCATGAGCAAAGTGGAGATCAGTGGCCATCTTGGCCACAGCAACCGTGAAGGGATCAAGTTTAAAATCTCTGTTGACAGGAGGAAAAGTGCCAGCAAAACTTCGACTCTGGACATGGGGAGAGCAGACTTCAGGCTGCTCAAGGAACTAGTAAGTAAAGTCCCCTGGGAAAATGTTTTTGCAGATGCTGGGATCCATCAGTGCTGGTCTCAAAGGAACACTAACTAAGTTTGCTGACAACACTAAACTGGGAGGAGCTGTTGACTCCCTTGAGGGCAGAGAGGCCTTGCAGAGAGACCTTGACAAATTAGAGAGATGGGCAATCACCAGCTGTATGAAGTTTCACAAGGACAAATGGAGATTCTGCACCTGGGATGGGACAACCCTGGCTGTGTGTATAGACTGGGGAATGGGAGTCTGGAGAGCAGTGCTGCAGAAAGGGACCTGGGGATCCTGATTGATGGCAACTTGAATATGAGTCAGCAGTGCCCTGGCAGACAAGAGGGCCAACTGTGTCGGGGGGGGGGGGGGCCATCAGGCAAAGTGTCGCCAGCTGGTCGAGGGAGGGGATTGTCTTGCTCTGCTCTGCACTGGGGCAGCCTCACCTTGAATATTGTGTGCAGTTTTGGGCACCACAATATAAAAAAGACATTAAGCTATTAGAGTGTGCAAAGGAGGGTCACAAGGATGGATGGTGAAGGATCTGGAGGGGAAGCTGTACGAGGAGCAGCTGAGGTCACATGGTTTGTTCAGCCTGAAGAAGAGGAGACTGAGGGGAGACCTCCTTGGGGTCTTCAAAATCCTTATGAGGGGAAGTGGAGGGACAGGCACTGATCTCTTCACTCTCATGATCAGTGGCAGGACTCATGGAAACAGCATGAAGCTGAGTCTGCATAGGTTTAGTTTGGATACTGGGAAAAGGCTTTTCACCCAGTGGGTAGTTGGGCACTGAACAGGCTCCCCAGGGAAGTGGTCTCAGCACCAAGCCTGACAGAGTTCAAGAAGCATTTGGACAATGCTCTTGGGCACATGGTGTGACTCCTGGGGTGTCCTGCGCAGGGTCAAGAGTTGGACTCAATGATCCTGACAGGTCCCTTCCAACTCAATGTATTCTGTGATTATTCATGTTGAGGTGAAACTGCTTGTGTTTTAGTTTATGGCCATTGCTCCTTGTCCTGTCACTGGGCACCACCGAAAAGGGCCTGGCACCATTCTCTTGGCACCTGCCTTTGAGATATTTATATGCATTGATGAGATCCCCTCTCAGACTTCTCTAGACTGAACAGGCCCAGCTCCCGCAGTCTCTCCTCATAAGAGGGATGCTCCAGACACCAAATGATCTTTGTGGCCTCTGCTGGACCCTCTCCAGCAGCTCCTTGTCCTTCTTGTATTGAAGAGCCCAGAACTGAACACGGCACTCCTGATGTGGCCTCGCTAGAGCCAAGTAGAGAGGGGGAGGATCAGCTCCCTTGACTGGCTGGCCACGTTCTTCCTGATGCACCCCAGGATACAATTGGCCCTCCTGGCCACAAGGGCACGGCGATGGCTCAAATATTAGCTCAAATGCATTTGCTCACTGTCAGACTAGGAGGACTGGCATCCTTTGTCTAAAGAAAGCTTTCATGAATCCTCCTACAGGTCTTTACAATAAACATTCAGTTTTGTCTGTGAAGATGGCACCAAGAAAAAAAAAATCTTGTTTGAAGTAATTCTTGTGATACTTCTAAAAATGTAACAAAAAACGTTTTAGCTACAAACTCCTATTTTACCTTTGAAGTTTGTATAAAAGTAGTGTTTAAAATGCAGCAGAAAATGAGATTATTTTGTAAACACCTTGTGAGTTGTGTTGATAAAAGATTATATATTGTAACAGTAAAATAAACTTTATTTTAGCCAATTTAAATTGAGTTCTCGTGTTTCCATGCCTTGTTCCTTATATCAGCCCCAAACTTATAGCAGATGATAGTGAAACTGCTGGATATGCTCTGGAGTTGTTAGAATGACAGCCCCAATTAGGAGGTTGAATGGCGAAGGGTAATGCAATACCAGAATCTCTGCTGGAGCTAAGTGTGATATTGTTAGCTGGAGTAACATGAAATCTCTGGGGCTCTCCTTTTAATGAGGATTTTGGTGAGAAATAGCTCGATAAAGTTGTGAAGATGATTTTTCAACATAAATACTGTAGAAATCATCCTATGTAGTTACAGGACCCTTTTTCGTGAATGAGAACATCTTTTTATGAAAGCCACCTCTCGATTTTATTCTTTCATCTTTGTGGCTGTTGCTATCAAGTCCCCTGTGAACTGGATCTTTCTCTGCCACTTGGATCAAGGCATCTGGCTCAAATACTCCATACCGGCCCTTCCTGCTTAATTATCACTCAGAGGCTTGTTTTCTATGTATAACTCTATGCTTAAAGGAAAGTTATCAGTGTAGTCACATTTTACATTGCAAATTCACCCTTACACCAGGCTTGAACTTTATGTCTACAGAAGGGCACATTTGCAGAGTTTAACAATTGTAGCTGATAGTTAATTCAAATTAATGTTATTCTAGGATGCAGCTGACTTGCATAGCCCCAAGAGGACGGTGGTGCTGCTGGCACTGATGTCAATTACTGTTTGTTTGTTGTTTTTTTTTAATTTTAAAATAGGGCTTCTGGATATCTTCAAAGAGTTCTTCTGCAGGGTAAATCACATGCCAGCTAAAATGCAGAAGGCCAGCACTTCTTAGTTCATTCTTTTGGTGGCTTAATAAGGAGGATTGAAGATCTGTTGCCTGTGATGTTTTGGTATGAATGCTTAGTGACCCCTTAATTCCCTTTTTTCCACGTCTCTCTCTATTTCTTCTTCACCTGCCTTCAGAAGCATATTTTTACCGTGGTTTTCCTGGCTGAACATCCTGCTTTCTTTCACCTGAAGGCACTGATGTGTTATCTGCTCCCCAGTGCTGCAGTGCCCCTAGGGCACATCTGCGTGCAGCAGGGGTGACCTTTAGCTATTGCCAAGGCTGACTTGGGGGCTCTGTGGTTTCCTGCATAATCAGTCTGCTTGCTTTAAAATGTGCCAATCTCCTTTCAGCTCTCCTACTGCTGTTTTATTTCTGTTGGTCTCCTTTTAACCTTGGCTTCCCTCCAGTCACTTTTGGTCCTGATGATAGAAGAGCTTCTGTAACAACAGGCCATCTATGGGATGTCATCTCTGCCCTCATGGGAGATGAGCCAGGGGTGTGCTCTGGAAGTAAGGGAAAGTGTGCTTGGACTCATTCATTGTTTTACAGACACTATTGTTTCTTTGCTTGATGAAATAATTCTG